TCTTGGTCAAGTTTTTTCCCCATCTATAAAATGAAGGTAGCAGAACTAAATGGTTCCCAAGCTCCTTCTACTTCCAACAATATATATTTTTGTTCGATTAAGAAAGAACTTTCTCTTCCAAATGCTGGGGCTGTTGTTAAGGAAAAACATGAATTTGTAGCTGCTGGTCTCCAAATGGGAGGAACTGACTACTGTTCACCAAGGTCAAGGACAGAACAACTGATTAGTCAGCCACCTGTGAGCTTTTGTCTGCATGAACTATATCACAGACTGTGCAGGTCCCTGAACAGCATACCTTCCCTCCCAAGAAAACTCACAGCAAAGGCAAGAGAAAGAGCTGAAAACAGTAGCAATGAAGAATCCTTACTCATGCAGAATTCCTGCACTTTTGTGCCTTTGATGCCTGTAATTAAGGCATCATCCTTCTAAAGTAGGGCCCTCCTCAGCCACAAAGAGAGAGAACACAAAGCCCTGAACCTGACAACTCATAAAACAAGGACCAAAGCAGGTAAATAAAAAAATGTCACTGACTCATTTAACCACAAACATTCAGAGGCCTGCTATGTGTGCCAGGAACCAAAGGAGTGAAATAGACATGGTCCCTTGCCACCGATATTCTCAGAGTATATATGGAATAACATACTCCAAGGTACACTGTGATGGGAACTCTCTTAGAGGTTCAGTCTCTGCTACAGAGACTAAAAAGGAAATAACTAATCCAGCATGAGGATAAGCAGCTTCACAAGGAGGACACAAGAGATGGTAAATGAAAGATGAGGAGTAGGAATAAAAGCAAAAGCTGGAGCAGGAACATGCGGGACGTGTTTGCGGAACAGAGACAGGGTCTAGGTTTGAGAAAACAAAGGGAAACGAGAGGAGAGAGGCTTGGGAATAGACTATGGTGAGACCTGTTCATAAGGCTGAAGAGTCCAAGTCTACATAGCAGGCAGTGAAGTCTGTAAAGGCTTCTGAGAAGAAATACAACACAATCACAACAGTATTCTAGGAACCACATTACTGAGTTGCCATGGGACCATATAACAGGAGACCATGCACTTCCTAGCTAAGCATGTGCTGCAATCTACCAGCTTCTGTTCACAAAGTCTTCCTCCCCATGGTTTGTCAATCTGAGTTGCCAGGCCCTCCAAATGTCAAAATTTGCTAAAGCATTAGTGTAGCATCAAGTCAAGAACCCAGACAACTCTCTGGATTAAGAAAGAGGAAAGCTGAGGCAGGAGCGGGTGGGGGAAAGGGGCACCAGAGTCCCCAGCTGGCTGTGTTCCATATAAAAACTCTAGATCTCTTCTTCACATCACTCCCAGCTCAGCTCCATTTAAGTGCTGATGCTAAGGACAAGTGGGCTGAAAGCACCTGATGGGGATCCAGTGCTACTCTATACACCAGCTGCCCAGCTGGTGCTTAGCATATGGACAGTGGTCAGTGAGCTTTAGTTCCCTATCCTGCAAGGTGAGTTCCACCTGTAAATCCCATTGAAGCTTCAAGGCTACATGGACTCTTCCCCAGGGACTCTCTAAAGCACCCCAGACCAAAATGTCTTAGTTCCTAAAAGTCACAGCAATCATGTACCCATTACATGATAGGTGCTATTTAAGTTACTTATATATAACTCTATTCGACCTTCACAATGACCCTGTTATGCCTGTTATATAGAGAAGAAACAAGCTCCCCAGAGGGGAAATGACTTGCCTCAGGACACACAGCTAGCAGGTGGGTGCAGTGAGATCTGAGTCCAGGAATGCCTGACTCCAAAGTCAAGCCCTTCCAACAACACTTCATTCCTGTCGTCTGCACTGGCCTCTGATCTTCCACTGACAGTCCTACATATAGCCTGGAAGTTCTCTAAGGAGAGACTGCACCTGACACTCCTACTTCTCCCCACGGGACAACCACCTGCACATGGCAGGAACTTTTAAATACTGTATTGCAAAATAAGTAAAAACGGTTAACTTTAAAACGATGGAGTACACACAGTTTATAAATTCCTCATATGAAGAACTGTTCATGGCGTTGGACTGAGTCTTGAGCCCTGCCATAGCTTTGCCCTGACCCTGGTTAGGTGTGAGGCTCAAACCCCGCCACAGGCTGAGCTCGGATCTCGGACACAGATAGGGTCCTGGCCTGTCACGACCCAAGAGTCCCAATCCTAGCCTCAGGCTGAGCTCCAAATGAAACACACACTACGTCCTGGTCTTGGCACAGACGGAGTCCCGACAGGTCACAGATGAATCCCCAGGGTAGCCCTAAAAAAGTGTCCCCTTTGGCTGTCCAGCCTCAGAAGAATCGGGTCGTGACCTCGAGCCGCTCGCTCTGAAGGCCACGACTCCCCCCCTCCCCCGCTCCCGGGCACACGGATTCACTCCAGTCCCCCGTCCCACTTTGCTTGAAGGGACACCTCGCTGTCTCGCTTTTACCTTGGCTGACCACCGCGGAAGCGGCCGCGCGCACCCCCACCTGCAGATATCTCTGCTGAGAACGCGGAAAAGGCGGTGCTAGACCCAGGGGGTGGGCCCAGGCAGACAGGGGCGTGAGTGGGCGGAGTCGCGCCTGCGCCCTGGTGACCGCATGTGGCGGGCGGGGCGAGCTGAGTAAACTGCGCAGGCGTGGCAGCAGAGGGGCGGGAGATCGTGGCTAGGGGGTGGGGCTTAACCCCTTTCCACTCTTTTTGGAGGTGGAGCATCCGGAAGGCAGTAAAACGCCAAGAGGGAGGAGGCCTGGCAGGTGTAAATGTTTACTGAGCGCTTCTGCATGCTAGAAAAAAATTAAAAAAAAAAATTCATTCTGGTGGTGCTGGGGTTTGAACTCAGGGCCTTGCACATGTTAAGCAGGCACTCTACCACTCCAGTCGCTCCTTTTCCCCAGCCCTTTTTGCTTTAGTTATTTTTCGGGTAGGGGGCCGGCCTGACTGGAGAGCTTCCTATTTAGACTCTGGTAGCTGGGATTGCAGGTGTGAGTCATCACACCTGGCCAAGGAAGGAATTTTTAAATGCCTCCTATATAGAAGGAAATGCTGCTAGTATTTTCTAAAAGAGGGGCTAATTCTGGTTAAATTTCCTTCCTTTCTTTTCCTTATCTCCTTTCTTTCTGATAGTCTCCCTATGTAGCCCAGTCTGGCGTCAAATTTGCGAGTCTCCTACCTCAGCCTCCTTAGTGTTGGAATTACAGGCACTAGCCTTGCCTGGCTTTATAAATTTTCCTAAAAAACCCCCCAAAACTTTTAAGCTTATTTCTTAGCCAGGCGCCGGTGGTTCATGCCTGTAATCCTAGCCACTCAGGAGGCAGAGATCAGGAGGATCGTGGTTTGAAGTCAGCCGGCGAGACCCTATCTCGAAAAACCCTTCACAAAAATAGGGTTGGTGAAGTAGCTCAAGGTGAAGGCCCTGAGTTCAAGCCCAGTACCGGAAGAAAAAAAAAAAAAAACCAAAAAACCAAAAATTCATTTATTGGAGAAAAACAACTGTAAACAGCCTCCCTGCCCCACTTCCCCAGGCTGCAGGTGCCATGAGAGGGGAGGACAGTGGTAACCTGACTTTAATTCATGTTCTGACACTGTTTCCTTCTTTGTGAGATGAAAGTAAACATCCCTTCCCTGTATGAGTCAGGATTGTTGTGAGGGTCTGGTGAGCAATGCTACTTAAAGAGCTTCTTGGACTTCCTTTCCACCTATCTGACAAACATTCGTTCCTTTTTTTCTTCTGGGCTGTCTTCTCACTTGTATGATGGAAGGAGTGAGGGAATATTAGGAATCATTCAGGATTTGCTAGCTGTCCCATCCAGGTGAAGGCCAGAGAGGAGAGTCTTCCCCACAAGCTTGTGTGTATAGCTCCTTCCAGATTCTCTGAGTACAATCTGAAGGCTATGTATATCAACCTCTCTTAGCAATCACCTTCCAGGCTGGACCTTGAGCTTCAAGTCCTCACAGGCTTTGCTGGCCTATTCTCCAACTACCTCAATAGCCAACTAGTCCTGAGTCACTCAGGCCTGTGTTCTAAATGAGATTCATGCTAGATGAAGTCTCAGGAACTTTTTCTCCCAACTGGCCTTGAACCTCGATTCCCCTGATCTCAGCCTCCCAAGTAGCTAGGATTACAGGTATGAGCTACCATGCCCGGTTCACTCCCAGTTCTTATGAAATAGATGGGCAATTGAGGTCTATACAGGAAATGGACTTGCCATGGTACTTCAGGGGTGGGGCTAGGACTGGAGGCCAGGACTCCAACTCCCAGGAGAGCTCCTGCACAAAACCAGGCTGGTTCCTTTGCAGGTGGGTCTTTGCTAACTCTTAAGAACCAAGGTGTTTTTAACTCCTGTCTGCGTGGTTTGTGGGCTAGGGTCAGTGGAATGACAGTAAGACCTGAGCCAAGAGTTTTGGGTGTCTCCTGAGGAGTAAGCTCTGGAGTAAGCCCCAGATCTACCTCTTCCACTTTGAGCTTCATCCAGCAATCAACATCTTCCTTCTGAGAATGGCCTCCTCTCCTGTAATTAGGGTTGGGGCTGTATTTCTATTCTGTCCCTTTACCTATTAGTTCCCTGAAACCACCCAGATAAAAAAGACAGGGTGAGAATAGCCAATGCCAGTTAACCTGAATTTAAATAAGGAAAGATTCTCCATCAGATTAAGTTCCTGGAAAGCTAGGGTGAGCCCTTTCCTCCCCAAGGGTCCTAGCTTGACCTGGTCTAGAATCCTCAGAGCCATGGGAGAATGTTGGTGTTCCCATCCTGTAGAACTAGGCCAGACATGACCATATCAGTCAGACCTCCACATAGTTCAGGATCTCAGGGCAAAAAGCTCTGCCAGCCCCATTTTGGTCCAGCTCTTCCCACCATCAGCCAAGAGCCATGTGGCGCCCAGACCACAGCTTCCCACCAGTTGAGTACTTTGGTTTGTCTCTTTTATTTTACCAAAAATAACAACAATAGTCTTTCCTCTGTTTCACAAAAATAGATTTCCCCTCCCCCACCCCTCTCCACAATCAGCCCTTGCCACAGCCTAGAATCCATCAGGAAGTTAAAGACCACTCTGGGGAAGCCTCTACTCCCCTCAGTCCAGAACTGCTGGCAAGGCATGTTTCCCTTGGTAATTTCTCTAGAGGCAGCAAAGGCAGAAGTCCCAGGCCCAGCTGGCTGGTCCTGAGAGCCCCATCTGTTTCCCCAGAGGGCAGGCGTTTCTAGGCCATCAAGAGGTGCATGATTTTGGAGGCTTGGCTCAGTGTCCAACCCCAGCCAACCCTAGGGTGGTGGGGCTCTCTGGCATCAGGCTAGAAATCCTTGCTCAGAGCAGGAACAGGAGAGGGTCTGTCAAACCCTTTCTCTGTATAGCAACCAGTCCTGGGGTGAGAGTGAAGACTCCTCATTTTTGCTCCAGTTTTGCAATAGTCTCACTCTGAGGCCTTGGCCAGTTTCTTCCTCTTCTCCTGGCTTCACTTTCCTCCTTTGCATTTTGAGAGGCTGAGACTGGATGATTCTCAGGTCCTTCTGGTTCTCCATCCTGGTCTCCCAGGGTAGAGGCTCTGGGAGTGAAAAAGTCTGCTCCTGCCTCCATTTCCCATTTGTGGGTTTGGGCACAGGGCTGGTCATGGAGGAACTAAGTAACAGGGTGCTGAATGAACATCCCAGCCTCTCTGGATAGTGTGCCTGGGGATCCAAGTAGCTGGAATGTCTCAGGGATGGTTGGGAAGGAGGCAGTTACTTTTAGGATAGGGATTCTCCACCAGCTACGTGATCCTAATTCAAGTCCTACTTTCTTTGCTGGAATATTATTTTGTGCTGGACTTTGGGTCCTAGGAGCAAGTCTGTAGATTCTGGTAGCTACATCAGAATATATGAGTCCCAGTTTAAGAGCCAGGGGACCTTTACTGACATGAGGAATCATCCACAGACCCCCCCCAGGAAGCTATTATCAGGCCCTCCCGGAGGCATGGAGAAGTGACAGTTGTTGAGCATCCCTGACTGAGCATATCAGAAACCACCTGTGTGGTGGGTCAAGGGTTTAAGGAACTCAGGGTAAGTTTCCCCCTTCCAATCTCCACCCCGCTTCCCAGGACTCATGTTAATAGGAAGCCTGGAGGGTTTAACTGTAGAACTACATCTACAGCCACATTTTGTGCATTTACACACATGATCAGATATCCTGAGTGGGGATACTGAGATGTCACTACTTTTACAGTGGTCATGGTCTGAGGGTCCCAACCTCTTCATCCATCCATCCATCCATCCAACATTTATGGAAGGTTTACTATGTGCCAGGGAGGGTCTAGCTCTAGACCCCACACACAGTCAAAATCACACACACAAACACACACACACCACACAGAGGCACAGACACACAGGCATCTCTGCTTACTCATACATAGGCACTCACTCTCTTGCACCTTTCTTGACATCATCTCAGCCACATCCACATTTCCCAAATAGGCTTGGGACCACCAGGGAAGTCTCAAGTATCAGAGAATAAATGTGGTAGCCTACCTCACTCCTAGACATCTTTCCTCTGTTGCCTACTTGAAGCCCTCCCTTTTCCATTCACAAGCACTCAGAGGGTCACATAGGCAGACTTCTGAGAGCCAGAAGTCAAGAGGCACTGGGTATGTGGAGAGGTTCTAGGAGCCTTTAGATTTCTCTACCATCAGATTCCAAAGGGTCCCCTCCTGTAGCCATGCTGTCTTCAGATGGTCCATCTGATGGGCAGCAATGTCCAGGTCTGGGCTCAGTGACAGATTCGCTCTGTCATCTCCCTCTGTAGAGACACAAGGTGTATGTGTTGGGGGTGTCAGGTCAGTCCTATCTCAGCCTACCAGGCAGTCCCTTCCAAAACCATAGGGTTTACTGAGCCTGGCTCTTCCCTCCCCCAACCCCAGCCCTAGGCTGCAGACTATTAAAGTACAGACTCCATTGTAAAATGAATTTCCTCTCCTAACTTATCTGCTTGGGTATTAGAGTTTCTTATAGTAGGCAGCCGTTTGGATCTCAAAACTCTCAGAGGTAGAGGAGTGCAATTGGGGCTTGGCCTCACCAGGGGCTCTAGCTCCCTCTGGTCCACCAGGCTGAACTCCTGGATGAAGTAGTAGAAGTGCTTGTAGCAGGTGTTGACATGCGCCTCTGCCCCCATGCTGAGGATACTGTCAAAGTGGTGGATGTAGACGTGGACAAAGACTCGGAAAAGGCGGGTCAGGATCTTGGTGCAGACCTGCTGGAAGTTCTTGGGGAAGGGAACTCCTAGGGGATGGAGAGGGGGCAGAAGGAGGGATCAACATCCTGCTGACAAAACACTGCCTAACTCTGCCCTCTCCCAAATGGGTAGTCTTTACCCAGGGTGTCTCCCCCTGCTACTTCTCAGCATACTTCCCTTAGAGAGAGACACACAGAGAGAGTTTTCACTCTCTCTCATATATTTTATTTTACTTTTTTTCAGTGCTGGGGATTAAACCCAGGGCCTCTAGCATGCTGGGCAAGTACTCTGTCACTGAGCTCTGTCCCCAGCCCCTGTACTTTCCTTTTTAAAGCACAAATTTGAAGATGCCTCTTCCCAGCTGAGACACAAATCACCTTCCACATTTCCAATTGCCTAAAGCAGGGCTTTGCAACCTTGTCACTGATTAACCCTTCTCAGATCATAATACAAGTTATGGCCCAAACTCTCCCCAGAAATATGTTGATCCAGAGGGAGGTGCACATTACACACTCGTATACAATTCCAGATGTTCATTAACATCTGGGTTAGTTTTAGAAAACCTGGGCCTTCAGGATTAAGCCCTAACATCCCAGCAAGGCACTAAGTAAGGCCTTTCATGATCTGATCATGATCACCCACACCCTTAGTTCATCTTCTTTTCAATGTTCACACAGTGGCAGCTCCCCAATGCTGATAATTATTAATTTTTTTTTCAGTACTGAGGTCTGAACTCAGGGCTTCACGCTTGCAGGGCAGATACTCTTACCTTTTAAGCCACTCTGCCAGCCCTGAAAATTGTTAATTCTTCAAGAACTAGTTCAGAAATCACCTACTCTTTTAAATACTCAGTAACATAAAGAAACTTTCATCTGGGAGATCAGCCCTGAGCTGGGCCCTTTGTACCTCTGGCCTTGAATTCTTACAACAATTCTGCTGATGGATCTGATAGTCATTCTAGATAATGATAAAATGGAGGTGGTGTATAAAGGCGAAGCTACTTGCCCAAAGCCATGTAATTATTAAGTAGTTCAGACTGGAGGAAGGATTCAAACTCTCTTTGTACTACACTGTAGCACCCCACAGAACTAAATGATACAGACCCTGCTCCCAGGAGGACCCAGGACTTACATGCTCTTCTTTGTTGTGGCAGAGTTATTCTACTAAAGGTATGAGGCTCACAAGCTCAGGAATGTAGGATGGAAGGGAGTAAAAGCTCAAGTTTAGGTCCACACCTAGCCCACAGACCCCCTTCCTACTCACTGCTCGCAGGTGGGTGGAGCTTGGCCTCCTTGGGAGCCCTGCCAGGCCTAGACCAGGCCCTACACCCTTATCCTACCCCTGCCCATCTAGACTTTAGGTCTTGACCCTATAAGACCTGAACTCCTGAACTAGAGAGTGCACTGAACTGCTCTCTCTCTCTTTCTCTCTCTCTCTCTCCTTCCCTCCTTCCCTCAGTTTCCTCCTGTGTAAAATGAAGGGACATTTTGTTGGGCATGATAGTGCAAGAAAACAGCAGCCACCGCTGGGGAGGAGCCATGGGCTTTGAATTGTAACTCAGTGCACAGCTCCCTCAGCATTCAGACTTCTTCCCTCTGGGCGTGACCACCTGCCCCACCCATCTCTGAGTTCTATAGCCCAGGTTGGGGCTGGGCCCAGGGTAAAGGTGGGGCTGCTGTGATGAACACAGTGTCATGCCTATTCAGCTCCTGGGTGGGTAAGCAGGGCATCACTCATCTCCCCTCCCCACCCTCACAGTCTCAGTCTGTCCAGCTGAGATAAAAAAAGGCTCCAGGCTTGGGCCTGCTCTCAGACCCTAATCTGAGGAAAATATGTATCTTTCTTGGGTCCAGGAGTCAGAGGAAATTCCCAGGAGGTTGGATCCGCCCAAGTCAGAGGATCTGTTATGAATACCTTGAAGTACCTGTTCTGAAAGGTTCTGAGGATCATAGTATTTGTGGTCTTGCTGGCATAGTCCTTAGGGGGCACTTATGCTTTGGACAAGAAGAGCCCCAAGTGGGAGTTAGGCAGTCCTAGTTAAATATTTAACTTTAAGCAAGAGGCCTAACCTGTCTCAATGGGTTTCCTTTTTACAAAACGGGGGTGAAAAACCACCCATCTCCCAGAGGTCCTGTATCAAACTAAATGTCCCATGTGTGGATTGGGCTCCTAATGGCTCTACCCTCTCTGGCCAGGGTAACCTTCTAGTCAGGTGGCACTCACCAACACGTGTGGGAAAGACATCCTCATCATTGATGAGGCCCTCGATCCAGTCCATGAGCAATGCCATATAGTGTGGCGCAGAAAGCTTGGCAGGCCTCCGGTACTGGCGCTCATCCTGCCAGCGGTACTCATATCGGGGACCACCAGCCATTACTGGGCAGCTGGTCTCATTGCAGTGCTCAGCCATAGTACCATAGATGAGGTTGATACGGTTGAAGAAGTCTACCACGTGCACAGCGATCCAGTCGTCGATGTTCTCTCCGGGTGGCAGCCTCACTACACTGCGTAGGTCTAGTCCAGACTTGAGTGATGCTTGTGCCTTCTTATAGAGTTCAAAGCGCTGAGTGCCCGGCTCAAAGCGCTTCCGGGGCCGGAATGTCTTGTCCTTGGCAAACACCTGCTTTAGGCACAGTGCCATGGCCAGGCCTGGCAGAGTTGGGTGTCCAAGGGCAGGGACCTGAGGGCGCAGACAAGGGCATGGGGCAGTCAGTGGTCAGGGGCTTATCAAATGGGCTTTTACTTCACAATACCCCTTGCCTGTCTCAGCCCTCTACCTAGAATCAAATTCCTTATCCCCTAAATCCAGTACCCCACACCCTATCAAGTTTACATTAGCTGCTGTGCTGCACCCTCACAAACCTCTCATCTTGTCATCTTGTCTTGTTTCCTCTCTGCTTTTATTGTATCTTATGGAGGGTGGGGCCTGGGCTCTAAACAAGTGCTCATCAGAGTTGCTATTGACCATTCCAGAGGTGGCAGAGGCTGCTATAGGCCCACCAGGAGACAGGGGCCTGGACAAGATGATCTCTGGGAGCCCTATAGGCCAGCTGTACAGCGTGGGAGAGTGTGGCTGCATTGTGCTGAGGGGGAGAGGGGAGGGGATCTGGACTTAGACTTCCTCTGGGATATCCCACAGTCTATCCAGCCAGCGGGGATTCCCAGGGAGCAAGAGGGACTTTTCTACCAAAAATGTCCTTTTCTTTTTCTTTACCCTGAAAGAGGAAAGGGCCCTCACTTGGCCAGCTGGGTGGCCTCTGTATGTGGCTGCAGGCGTTGGAGGAGGGGGAGGGTGGCAGGCCTGCAAGGACTGCTTCCTCTCACAAAGGATGGAGATCCTTCCTTCACAAGCTGCCTTCCTCCAGTTTCAAACCTGAACAAGCCACTGGTCTCTCCCTGCACCTGACACTCCATTGATTCCACGGGCCTGCTACTGAGGGTAGTAGAGTGCAGCCAGACTTACCCAGCTGGACCCATCCATCTATACTTCAGAGATGTTTGCTTTGCCTCTTAGAACTAAAGGATCTCTAGACTCAGAATAGACTGCGGGGGAGGGGGTTGAGCACTGGGTTCTTTTTTCTTTTCTTTTTTTTTTGGTGGGACTAGGGTTTTGAACTCAGGGCTTCACACTCACAAAGTAGGTGCTCTACCACGAGCCTACTCGTGGTAGAAAAATAAAAGCAAAATAAACATTTTTTGCAAAATGTTATTTGCAAAAATAACATTTTGCTCTGGTTATTATGGAGATGGAGGGTCTCACAAAGTATTTGCCCATGCTGGCCTCAAACCACCATCTTCCCGATCTCAGCCTCCTGGGTATCTTGGGTTACAGGTAACTGCGACTGGCAAGTCCTGGTTCTTGCCCTCCCTGTTCCATCATTCACTTGCTGGCTGACACTTGTAGCATCATGAATTTGGTTCATGCAAATCCTGGGTCACTCAGAGGTTTCAGCTCATCTTTCCTGTGAGTGTGTGAACTATTGAGAAATGTAGACCCACCTGCTGAGACTGGAATTTAGCCACAAACTGAGCACTGACCTCAGACTGAGCACCCAGGTCATGTATAAGCCAAGCACTGAGTTCTGACTTGGCCCTGACACTGGTCAGTCTGTGCCTTGACTCTAGCCCCACACTGAGGCTTGAACACAGTCACAAAGGCTGGACTTGACCTTAGACTGGCTTCAGTAGAGCATTTTCCTGAAATGCTCTACAGTTACCTCTGGTAACTGCTGGGACAGGATTGGGGAAGAGAGGGTGGGAATGAGGTGACAATTGGGTGTAAACAAAGGCACAGAACATATGGGAGCAATGTTACTTCTGGCAAAAAATTGAACCCATGGAGAAGATATTTTGACAAGGGTCCTTTCTTGTACCACAACAGGCAGGCAGGATGGGAACACTTGGGAAAAACTAGAGTAGTTTGGATAGTTGAGACTGGTCCTCCAGCAGGATTTTGTTCTCTTGAAAGAAGCTTGAAGATGTGGAAGGTCCTCTCATCTATTCTTGCCCCTCAACTTCTTCCCAAAGGAGTGCTAGGGTGGGATGTGAGCTTCCTGAGTGAAGAAGACATCCCTGCTCTACTTGTTATCTTCATTTTAAACTCTGTGTGGTTCAGGTGCTTCGGAAATCACTCACACCGTAATTAGGTGGGGTTCCTGGACCCATCTTTGCATGGCTATCTTTATTGACAGTTCTACAGATCCTCACCTGCCTTTCAACTCCCTACCATACCTTTCTTGCCCTACCTCCCACTTGCTTCACAAACAACCACCCTGGGTTTCTTCTTGATCCCTGAACACACCCAGATTCACCTGTCTCTTTTCTTCAGCTGGTTTCCACACTCCATCAGGTTGAATGCTACCTCCTTCCACAGCCTTCTCTACTAAGTCCAGATCTCCACCTTGCGTGGAGGCTGCTTTTGGCCACTATTGTCCCCACCTCAACTGCAGCTTAGGTTAGGGCGTAGCACAAAGTTGGAGTCAGGCTTTATGAAAAGCTTAGACTCAGAGTCTTAGTTGAAGGGTTGGAAGCACGGCTCAAGTGGTACTGCACTTGCCTAGCAAGCACAAGGTCCTGAGTTCAAACCCTAGTACAGCCAAAAAAGAAAAAAAAAGTGTTAAGAGTTGAAATGTCCCTGAGCTATCAACTGGTCCAATGCACTTCTACAGATGGGGAAACTGAGGCCCAGGAAGGGAAGTTGAGGAGAGTATGTTCATGTAGTAGGTTACAGGCAGAACTAGGGACTGGGATAAGGGGGGCGCAGCCCATGACAAGGCACAAAGCCCATGACAAGACCTGTCACTGGCCTGACAGATAAGAGGAGAGGAAGGGAGTAGAGGGAGAGGTCCAGCATCTCCCCCACCAATCAGATCAACCTGCTTCCTGTCTCAAAACCAACTGACCCCTCCCCCCAGTGACTTGGGTGTCCTGACCACTGAGTTAGAGTCTAGCCTTCCTGCTATAGCACATCCAGTCCTGGTACTTTTCCCAGAAAAATGTTACCTTAGAGGTGAGTACAGGGTAGGTGCTGTTTCTATTCATGTCCCTTACTGCTCTTCACTCCTCAGCCTCAAGCCCTTATTGACCTCTGTCCCCCTCCCTGAACCATGCCCCTTCCCCTGTTTAGTGCCCACTTCCCAGTGTTGGATAAGGGGCCAGTGGCTTGCTCCTTCCCTGGCTGGATATCTGGGCTTCTGAAATGAAGACCCTGTCCGTTTCTAACATTCAGTCCCCTGCCAGGGCCACACCTTGGAACTCAGCCCTAGGATGGCTCCAGCTTGAACTCAGAATCCAGCCTGGGACAAGATCCAAGAGTAGAGGCGACGACTGCACGCCACCCACAACCCTTCACTACCCCTTACGACCTGGCCCTACCTCCAGGTGTCAGGGCCAAACAGGTCGCAGGACCCAGAGGAGCCAGCCTGACATTTCCGTCCCCGAAGACACGCCCCCTCAACCACCGCCACCCGGGTCCTCGACTTTCGCTGCTGTGAGCCTCGGACCCTGGGCCAAGGATTGTGGCTAGCCTGCCTGGCCAGGGGGCCGCTTCCGGATCGTGCCACACCAGGCCGCGGAAGAAATGAAAGTGGACCCCAGGCTCGGCCGCGGGCGCGGGGCCGCGATCGTTCACTCACCGGGGCCGCCCGGCGGAGAGCTCGAGTTCTCTGCCCGCGCGGTCACATCCCCGCACTCTGGGTCGCCCTTCTGCCGGTCCTCCGTCTGCCCGCCCCGCCGGGCCACGGCCACCCTCCCGCCCGCCTGCCAGCCCCAGCCGACGCCAGCTCCGCCCCGGGCCCGGCCACGCCGCGGCCATGGGGCGGGGAAGGACGGGGCGGGGAAAGGGACTCCCCCACCCCAACACACAGGCACCACAGGCCGTCTTTCCGGGAAGTCCATATCTGGCTCCCAGCCACCGGTTGGGAAAAGGACTAACTGAGCAGCCGCCCTCTGGATGTTTCCATGGGCCTTTCCCAAGGAGGCAGCCTCGGATTCCTAGGCTGTGAAGTGGGGGCAAGCCCAGCCTTCCGTTTGGAGCAGAAACAAAAGATAAATGGTGTTTTTCTTGCCCTATTGGAATCATCTGTGCCTCACTTGTCCCTGAACACAGTAAAGTCTCAGGACTGCCTATTTATGCCCATATCCTCAGATTCCCACTAGCGGCCCCATAATAGGAGGCACTGGAAACTCTATTGAATGAATGAGTGAAGGAGTGCATGCCCCGGGAATCACTCCCAAACAGACTCACTCACTTCTGAGAGGACTGAGTAACACCTCTCAACAACTGCTCAAATCACAGACTTGGGAGGGAGCTTGATTCACCCCATTTCCTACCAACAGGCCTTTGTCCCAGACATTCTTTGATCTTCTTTCCTTCCTCCTTTCCAACCAAATCCAAACCCTTCCAGACCTGGTCTGCTCTGCCTACTTTTCCACCAGGATTCCTCTCCTGGGGACAGGCAGATATTGCTCACTAATAATTAATGTACCCCAGAGCCCAAGCCCAGGAGCCAGGTTGCTGGCTCTGTCTGGACAGGAGGGAAGATTGGGGGCCTTCTAGAGTAGGAAGGTCACTGCAGACGGATGAACTGCAGAAGTCCCCCTGGAGAGAGTGAGTGAACAGGTGTGTGTAGGGGAGACCTGGAGGCCACAAGTGAACTCCCACCATGGCACAGATGCCCCGGTGGGCTCCCCTGGGTGGACCTGCCTACTCAATAATAAGAGAACACTAGATCTTTTAAGAACTCCAGGTCATATTCCTGAGGATCCATTCTGTGATGAATTATTTTTGCTTCAGCTTAGAGTTCTCTGTATTTTTATTTCTGAGTCTTAATCTGGCTCAAATCACCTATAAACAAACATTTACATATGGAGGAGATTCACATCTACTTCATTTAATTTGATATCTTAATATCTTTACTGAGCATGCCTGTGCTCTGAGTTCACGGAATTTGGTATTGAACAAGTAACTGACCGTAGGTGCTGACAGGTCAGCAGTTGGTACAACACATACACAGATAATGCAGGGCCAGACCTCAGCTATCCAGAAATGGGAACATGGTTATGCACTGATGGCTGAGTACTACGAAAAGGTGGGGTATCCTCAGGAAACACATGAAACACCCTTGCTGAGTGTTTAAGAGTTTAATAAAGGCATTATTTATAGGTAGAGTCAGGGTGGAGACAAACCAAGTGTATCACCAAAGGGTTAGAAAAGGTAGTGGGTAGCTGTCAACCCCAGATTAGGAAGGAGCGGTGGGAGTGTGATCCATGAGGAAGGAGCTACTGACAGGCACTATGGCTTAAGGTGGAGGACACACCTAGCCCATGGGGCAAGGACACTAGAGGGGGTGGTTAATAAGGGCCTCATTTCCTTCTGTCCTTTCTCCCATCTCTGGCCAGGTTTCTGCATTAGTAGAACCCCAATAGAAGCCAAGGATCCCAGAACCTGTTGCAGCTGCCTCCTGGGAGCAGAGCTGGGTGGAGGGTAGAGAGTCATCTGGTGGAGAATTGTGGGTTAGGGCTGGCTTCACAGAGGAAATAACTTAGAAACTATTGTGTTTTCCTTATCATTAATTTCTAAACATTTCACAAATGTCATTGTGATTTCCTCTCGAACTCTTGGATGATTTAGAAGTGTGTTTTTAGTTTATATGTTTCTTCTTGACTTCTTATATTGCATTGTTTTCAGAGATCAGGGTCTGTAAGATTCTTTGGAATTTGATGTGACTTCCTCTGTGGTTTTGAACATGGTCATTTTCTATGCCTCTGAGTTGGGAATTTGGTGAAGAGGAAAAAGCGCAGAATCTCAGTGTGGGAAATGCAGGTGATCCATTTTGAAAGAATTTCAGAAGTTCTCAGCTCATCTGCAGAATACTGGATGTCTGTGGGGCAGGAAACAGGTGGGAGGATTGGGGGAGCCAGAGGTAGTCCAGATTCCTCAAATATCTATACCCCTTTTTCTGCTGCCCTCTCCTTATTCACCCAAGGAAGAATTTCTATTTCAGCTTCTGCCTTTCCCTGCCCAGGAGGCAGGATCTCTCATATTGGCTCACTGAGGAGAAAGCATGGCAATAAGGGGATCTGAGATGAGACTTCCTTTAGTGTGAAGAAGACAGATTCAAGGGACTATGACAGGGGAAGACAAAGTTGACAAGGATGTACCTTAAGATTTGGTGTGACCTTGAACAAGACACTCATTCTTTCTGAGCCTATTTCCTCTTCTCTAAAATAGAAATTACAATATTTGCCTCATTGAAGATCTGTGAGGATCAAATGCGATAGCTCCTATAAATAGCAGAAGGCAATGGCCAGTCTGTTTCAAGAATACTGCCTCTAAGTACTCAGCAGGCATTTGTGTAGAATAGGGATTGAGCTTATTCTGGGGTCATGTAGGGCAGTAGCAGAGACCCAAGTCATTATGAATGCTGGTACATCAGCACTGTCCAACCATGATGCCTGGATGATTGTGTTCTTTCTTGGGTGGGAGGTGTGCAAGAAGACATGGGCCAGCCCCCTGTGACAGAGTATTCAGGGGCTTCAATCCCTCTGAAGTGTAGGAGGGACCTTTTGCCTATGAGAACCTCAAATTCCTGTGTTCTTGGCTTTGAAGTCTTCCTTTCTTCCAGCTCTGTGCCTACCCATTGAGTTGGAGATATTGCTTCTATTTCTCTAGGTTAAGGGTCTTCCACGTTGGGAAAGAAACCTCCGTCTAATGTGTTTACAGTGCTCCAGACCTGACCCTCAAGCATGGCCCTGGTAGACATTGTCCCCTCCCACCACTTGGGTTAGTTCTTGACTCAGGGGTACCCCAGGAGTAGAGGTGATAGTTGGGAAGTGGGTTTCACCAGTAGTCCAGGTTTAGACTTCCATGGAAACCCATGATTGAGGATGCACAAAAAGTTCTGCCCAACCCCATCCCCTCTTCTGCCACTATGGTTCCTTAATTTCAGCTCTGGGACCACCTGCCTGTAGCACCCAGTTCAAAACCCTTTTACAGGAAGCCTCCATCAATAGCCCCAGGCCCTGTGGCACCTTTCTTCCTCTTCCCTAGCTTCCTTTTTCTAAGTGTATTCACACACTTAGACCTGCCTCAGTCACCAGTGGGGCTGGGAGATGGAGAACAAATCAGTTGAAGAGGGGGCCACTTTTCTAACAGTGTTCTCAAGGGAAAGTAGATAATGCAGGCATTTGTACCTGGGTCTATGTTAAAGCAAGTAACATTAAAATACACTGACTATTCTCAGTAACCTGAGGGCTGGGATGATAAATTTTAGTAATGATAATAGGAAATTAGTATAGCTTTAACATCTTAGAGAGACAGCATGGTGAAGTGCAAACTGTACATCCAGTTTTCATTTGTTCATTCATTTGATAAGTATTTTCTGAAGGCCTATCAGGTGTGAGGCACTGTATTTGGGCCAGGAGAAGACCTTGCCTTTACTTTGTGGATGATGACAAACACCTCAGACTTCCAAGGAACTTCTATTGGTCTGGACTAACAGAAGCTAGTTTAGAAGACTAAGGCTGCAGAGGAGCATTAGCAAGCAACAAATCAGGGAGTAGGTGGCTCTTAGGAGGAGAGTCCTTAGATATCACTTAGTCCAATCTCCTTGAAGTACATGGGAAAAGCGAGGCTCAGAGAGGCAATGTAAAATCATGATAAAATCATTCAGTGTGCCAGGTACCGGTGGCTCACACCTGTAATCTTAGCTACTCAGGAGGCAGAGATCAGGAAGATTGTGGTTCAAAGTCAGGTCAGGCAAATAATTTATGAGACCCTATCTCTAAAAAAAACCCTTCATAAAAAAGGACTGGTGGAGTGCCTCAAGGAGTGAGCCCTGAGTTCAAACCCCAGTACTACAAAAAACCAAACCAAACCAAAACAAAAAAACATTCAGTAAAACTTCTATATACCTGTGCTTGAGATGCATATTCTCATTTCTTCCTCTCAGCACCCCTGGGTGGTTTATCTTTCTGGAGCTTTAAAGTTGTCTTCCCTTCGGAGGAAGTCGTGTGGAAGAGAACAGTTAAAACAAGTGGGGAGCAGGGACTGGACATACTAAGATAAAGCTTCAAGCTCAGTCCTGCAGTTCTGAGTTCATCCTGTATTCACTTCTGGGAGATGGGAAATTGTGTGGCAGCAGTTTAGGCAGTGGGTGGGGTTTACTTCTTGGTGGAGACTCACACTGTGTCCGGTGGAGTCTGGATTCCATAAAGCACAGCTTGTGACTTGACTTCTCGCATTTGTTATGCAGCTCGTCATTGGGCTGCATCTGAGGCTTTTCAAAGAAGCAGCTGGGAAAGCTTTGCTTTCTCCAAGGCTGGGCAGACCAAGGGTGTGTGCTTCTCTTCCAGGAGTCTCCCTGAACAATCCCAGCTGCCCAGAACCAGCTTTTCAGGGGGAGCCCTCTTCACAAAAAGTTCTCAGTGCTTTGCAGATATGCTCCTTGGTTAAATGCAAGGAGGTTTTATTTTCCCCTTTGGGCTGTAAGCCCTTAAAAGTGGGGCTTTTTTTCCTCCTATAGTCTGAATTTGAACTCAGGGCCTTGCACTTACTAGACAAGTGCTTACCACTTGAGCCACACCTCCAGTCCTAATTTTTACCTCCTCTTGTGGAATTCTGTAGCAACAAGTGATAGCTATAAGGAACATTCTGGCTAATGAAGCGTGTTATTGCTCTGGTCACTTTTGAGTCTTTCCACAACCTGGGGAAATGAATATTGACTGCCAAAAGG